GGGGGGAATTAATGGCATTAAGTCTTGCGATTCGTTTTAGTAGAGGCTTTACAATTTTTGTGACCGACAACGAGTCGGTGAGCGCAGGGTGGTATAGCAAACGCTTCCTTGACAGTAAGGGGGAGGATCAGGATTTGTGGCATGAGCTCGGCCAGCTTGCCGAGCAGCGTGAATTTTCTGAGGTTGTAGTTCTTCAAGTGCCATCGCACATCTCCGCAGCCCAGGCTGTCTCGGGTACCCATCCTCTCTGGCTGGTTCTCGGGAACACAGCAGCGGACGAGTTGGCGGGTACAGCCGCCAAGGAGTGCCGCGTCCCCGCCCCTGTCAGGTCTCGCATCGCCCAAGTTGAACACAAAGCGATTCTTGTCAGGAAGCGACTCCTCAGGTCCACCCTGGACGCCATGGTTGCTGAAAAACGGTCCCCAGTGGTAAAAAAAGCGCGCCTGCCCCCCCCCTCTCCTGCGGCCCTGTCCATTTTTGCGTCCCAGCATCAGCTCTCCGAGGACGGGAGAAGTTGTCTTAGGTGTCGTGGGAGTGCTGCAAAATATGCCCTCACCAGCTGGCGGACCACTCCGTGCTTCGATTTGGTTCCGCAGCACTGTGGTGTTTTGCTTCGGGTGCCGAGGGGTCAGTCCATTCATATAGGGGGTGGTCTCACGCATGTCAGTCACAGTCTCCTCTTTCACAAGAGCCTCAAAGTGTGGTTCTGCAAGGAGTGTGGATACTATGGGAGCGCCCAGCTCAGAGGTCTGGGCAGTGTTTGTTTGGCCTCCCCCACACCCAAGCGAATCGAATATCTTAAGAATATATACGACGGCAAGATGCCGAAGTAGTTTGCCCCATCAATGCCGAGTTGATCTCGGTGGCGGATTGGGTGACGTTTTCATCGCTTCGCGATAGGTCCATTCCATTCCATTCCCTCTTCCTCCTCCTCCTCCTCCTCCTCCTCCTCCTCCACCTCTTCGTGGTCTTCCCCGCTGTTCTTCCCGAGTGTTCCCTGAAGGGATTCTACAAAGGCTGGGGGAATACATGGCCCGATAGCTTGGCAGAGCTCTTGCCACAACGCTCGGCCAAATTGGCGATTCCGAAAGGCAGGGGGCGGCGATGATTCGCCGTAGGCGTCTTCGATAGTGAGAGAAGTATTCAACATCGCGCGGTACTCGTCGGGTGGCGTGCGGGCAATGACATGGCTTTTCATGTACGTGGTGAAGAACGTCCTCATGGCATCCTTGAAGCCGCGCATGCCTCTGATCGCGTCCTGCTGCGGCTGGCCGTCCCCATCCTCGGACTGAGACTGCTTGTCCTTGATCGCCTTGTAATCTGCCACCGGTTTCCCGATACACTGCGTAATAGCATGCATGTTGCGAGCTGTCTGCAAAATGCCCGCACGAGACGACTGCGAGATACACCGGCACCTGGCCACGATGGACCACCGACATCCCAGAGGCCCCCAGATGTACCCGATAAGGCCAAAGAGCTCCCGAGAAGCTCCAAGTGGACCCGAAAGGAGCCGTCCAGCATGGCCTCAGGAGTCCAACATCATTCAAACAGAGCAGTTGCTCAATTGCTGTTTGGCAAGCTCTGCTCTGCGCCTGCTGAGTGTGACGCGCGCAAGATGGCAAGACCCCAGGGGGGGGGTCCACGATGCCCCAAAGACTGCCTCTAGAGGGCCCTCTGAGACGACCGAATGTCCCCTAAGACTACCCGAGACCGTCTCAAGAGAGCCCCAATGAAGCCCCCAGGCCCGTCCAGACGGTCCCGAGAACGGTTTGACCGAACATCTTCGGGAGAGCTCCGCAGAGCAAACCATGCAACAATCCCCCACGCGCCCCCTGAGAAGCCCCCAAGAAGCTCCCGGGAGGACCCCAATATCCCCCCCGGGCGGATAACAACATGTCCCAAAGGAACTCTCCAGGAGCCTCCAGGACAGACATCCCCCAAGAAGGAGTGCAAGGTAGGGCAACGCCACCCACGCTACATCACCGTGACGTGGCTTCCAAGACGGCCCCAAGATGACTCGACTGACCTGTTTCCAGAGAGCTCGGAAGAGCTATCGCGCCCGAGACAGCCCGAAAGCGTCCTGGGGGGCTATGCTTTGGGTGAAAAAGACGTTGTGAGACCGAGTTTATTCGGAGCAGCTCAGTAGAACCATCGTGCACGCACGTCCATGCTGTGTAAGCATGGTGGCAGGTTTGCCACAGGCAGCTGGATACTGCATCCTCTCGGTGCTGACTTCCTTGGTGATTTTCGCGAGTCTCACGAATCGGACTGGAGCGGTGACCAATCCACTGAGGTCGTCCATCAGGCGCACGAAGTTCCGCCTCCACCAGGGAAGTTTGGCCTGCCCACGCACTAGGCGCTTTTCATCCTTCACCTCCTGGTCGTAAAGCTGCTGCTCGAGCACCGAAGCCAGCCCATAGCCCCTGCCGACCCGCTTCTGCTGCTGCTGATCCGGGGCAAGCCGCTCGTCGACAGCAGACTGCTCGTCCCTGACCAGGGTCTGTGTAGCGCAAGCGGAGACAGCTGGCCGCGGGCCACCCCGCTGATTGGGCGGCCAAGCCACGAAGCCAAGGGAGAGAACGCTGGCGCCGAAGACCGCCCCAAGCCCGAGCGGCAGCAAGCGCGGCCTCAAGCGGCGCTGCGGATGACCTCGGACGCCCCTCGCGCCAGTGTGTGCCATTGCAGCCTGGAGGAGACGCCCTGCGCAGCGGTCGTCCCCGAGACCAACGAACCACAACAAAAAATTTAAGAATCTTAAGCCCAAAACAATACGGAAGAGGGGGACGCGGAGGGAACCGAAGATCGATGTGAAGTGTTTGGGCGTTTCTAACAAGTTGTGGCCCACCAGAGCCGCCTCGTGACCAAGGCTGGACGCAGTTCGAAAAACTTGCCAAGGATGGACCTGGAGGGGCGAGGGCACTGGTCTTCAGCAGATTTGATTGCAACGCTAAGAACTATACAACTGAGAGAGTGTGATCCACCGCCGCCTTACCTTGGAGAATTCCCCCCCCTCTTACTCCGGAACCTGGCGGTCGCCCCCCCCCTTCCGAAAATCCCCCACCCACCCCTGCTCGACCTCCCCCCCCCTTTCCCCCAGCAAACCCTTCCCCCCTCCCCCCCCCTCCCTCCAGAAAACCGGGGGGGGTCACTACGGGTTCGAACCCCCCCCTTCTTTGCCTCCAGAAAACCGGGAGGGGTCACTACCGGTTCGACCCCCCCCCCTCCCCCCCCCGCCGCCGGCAAACGACTCCCAGGTCCCCACCACCGTCCTCCGCCCCCACCACTGTCCCACCCACCACCCCACCACCACTGTCTCCACTGTCCCTACCACTGTCCCGCTGTCTTCACTGTCCCCACCGCCGTCCCACTGAGCTGTTCCACTGTTCCCTCCACTGTCCTACTGTCCCCACTGTCCCCACTACTGTCCCCACTGTACCACTGTCCCATTGTCCTACCACCTCGCCCTCACCACTGTCTCACCACCACCGTCCCCACCACTGTCGCACTGCCCCCCCACTGTCCCCACCACTGTCCCATTGTCCCCACACCACTGTTCCCACCACCACCATCCCCACCACCGTCCCACTGTCCCCACTGTCCCCGCCTCTGTCCCACTGCCCCCACTGTTCCCACCATTGTCCCACTGTCCCCACCAGTGGCCCCACCGTCCCACTGCCCCCACCAGTGCCCCCACCACTGTCCCCACAACGGTCCCACTCTCCTCACTGCCTCTATTGTCCCCACCACTGTCCCCACTGCCCCCACCAATGTCCCCACCACTGCCCCACTGTCCCCACTGTCCCCACCGCTGTCCCACTATGCTGTCCCACTGCCCCCACTGTCCCAACCACCGTCCCACTGTCCCCACTGTCCCCACTGTCCCAACCACTTTCCCCACAGTGCCACTGTCCCGTTGTCCCACCACCGTCCTCACCACCGCCTTTACCACTGTCCCCACCACTACCGTCCCCACCATTGTCCCACTGTACCCACTGTCCCCGCCACTGTCCGCACTGTCGCCACCAATGCCCCCACCACCACGTCCCCACCACTGTCCCACTGTCCCTACTCTTCCCACCACTGTCCCCACTGTTCCCACCACTGTGCCCACCACCACAGTCGCAGTGTCCGCACTGTCCCCACCACTGTCCCCGCTTCTGTCCCACTGTCCCCACAGTCCCCACCACTGTCCCACTGTCCCCACTCCCCACCACCACCATCCCCACCACTATCCCAACCGTGGGGGGGGGTTCGAACAGGTAGTGACCCCCCCCCCCTTTCATGATGGATCAGGGGTGGGGGCATCGAACTGGTAGTGATCCCCGCCCCGGTTTTCGAGGGGGGGGGGCGGGCTGGACTGGACCCCCCCAATGACTTCCCCCCGTTTCCTGCCAGCAGCGGCAGAACACGCTCTTTTACATATAATTACGAAGGATGAGAAGGACCCGGAACATAGGAGAAATTGAGCCAAGCTAGCGCTGGCTGGCCGCTGATCGTCGAATGAGGAATCGCGGGATGCAACGTCCAAGGTCCCGCGGCCGAACAGCGAAGAGCATCTCGTTAAAAAGTCGTGGAAGACTGGCGCCACCTGAACACACTCCCATCAAACCCTTCCAAAAAAGCGGGGAACGTAACTTCCTTGCGCATCTGCATGTGTACGCCCCGCATGAACGAGCATGCTTCGTTGCATGTGCAACGCCGCTTCGGGAAAGGTGGTGGTTACGGATGAGCATTGCTGTCAAGCTTGCCGCTGGCAATCCCTGAATCAAGGCTCTGACACGCCCCAACAATCAACATAAAACGCCTGCTTCTCGGCAACTCACCGCTCACATAATCCGACTCTGTTGGGAAAGCCCCAACGAGGAGGTCCAACGCTCACCTTTGCAGCACTGGCCCCCGCTTTCGCCAATGTGCTGGAGGCCAACACACATGGTATACTTCTGCCTTTGATTGGGATGCCCCAGATGGATGAATAATTCTGGACGGTGCACAAACGCCGCCTTGGCGACGCGAACCGACTGCTCCCACTTCTTGGTCTCCCTCTCCTTGGCGCGGTCCTGCTGGTCGCCGGACCAGCGGGGCCATGAGAGCGGCAAGGTGCGGGAGAAGGTGGAGGAAGGAGGTGGAGGAGGACTACCACGTGAGCAGGATGAGCAATTTCGCTTGTGGGCCGGATTGCCCTCACTATTGACAAGGCCTGAATGGAATTCCAAGGCTGACTGATTTACTGTACTCGCCAGGGCCATTCGGTTAGAGTCCAACTTTGCCAAGAATGGGTGACGACTTTTGGGCTGGCAATTTGAAGCGGCTGGTTGAGGATATCACGTTTGCAATTCCAGGCGGGCGGGTGAGGATATTTGTGGCAATTTTGAAGGGGTGGCTGAGGATAATTGGGTGTGCAAATTCAGACGATTGGGTCGGGATATTTGTGTGCTAGCGTAATCTTACGCGAGTGAATTTTGACACGTCGGTGGAAACATTAGGCGGGTTGGAAGTAGATGTGGGTGGCAATTTGAACTGGATGGGTGGGACATGAGGCAAAACATTTTAGGCGTGTGGAAGAGGACACGCGGGTGACAATATCAGGCTGGTGGGTGAAAACATTCGGGTGGCAGTCTGAAGCTGGTGGGCGGGTGGACGAAAATGTGTGGGGGTGGTAATTTAAAGCGGGCGGGTGACGATACTTGGTGGCAAGTTCAAACGGGATGTGGTGATGTTTGGGGTAGCATTTTTAAGCGAACTGCTGAGGACAATTCAAAGGCAGATCCACCTGGGTGAATGATGATTTGTCGATGGCATTGTTTGGCGTGTGTTTGTGTGTATATGTGAAAGAATGTGAACGTTACCTTCGGGTGGGAATATTCGGTTTACCACCGTGGGTGGGTGGGTGCACATACACCTATGACAGTGTTGATCGCTTGTGTCGCGCGTCTAGCGCGGAGCTGCGCCCATATAAACGCTCACAGGGGGGCTTTGGCTTGGCGAGGCGCTAGGAGGCGAGATGTCTAGAGATTTGGAGTGTACGCCTCGGGGGATGCGGTCGATTGATGCTCCTCGTGTGGGTGCGTGAAACAGTCTCCTCGTCTCCTCGCGCCGCGGCAGAGCAAATTTACGAAAAAGGGCATGGGATTTCCGCACCGAGCTTTGCACCGGTGAGCCATACCGATAGCAATCGTGGTATTTCGATACCGAATGCCACGCAACACTGCGAACACAACAAATAAGCGCCATCCATTTTCTGTGATATGTTGCCCTCCGACAAGGGCTACGGAAGCATCCGTGGGTACCTCTGTACACCTCTGGTGGCCTCCAGGGACATTCCGACAAAGACAGGCGTGTCTCGAATATGCACTTACGAAAACATGTTAGCCAGCGTGGATCCCAAACAATGACGTATTGCAATCCGCGCGAGCAAATTATGTGGTGCAACGAATGTGGTGCAATCTAGGTGGTGCAACCCACGTGGTGGAAAACAAAATAAAATTGTGCAAAACAGTGCAACTCAAAGCAATGCAAGCAAAGCAACGCGAAGGAAAAGCAAGCCAAAGCAACGAAAACAGTGCTGACTGATGCCAAGCAGACCAGTGCAGAGCAATGCGCTGCAACGCACGGCAAGGCAAGGCAAAACAGGGCAAAGCAAGGCAAAACAGTGGAAATCGGTTCAAGGCAATGCAGAACCATGCGACGCAATACACAACAGCGCGGCGACGGGCGGCGACGAGCTGGCAGGACCGCCACTGGGGCCCAGCGACGACGGGCGGCGACGGGCGGCGACAGGCGGCGGCGAGCCAGCCAGACCGCCACCAGGGCCCAGCAACCTTTGAACACAAGCAAGAACCCGTACATGCAAGCACTGCCTGGGGATTAAAATATTTGCACGCGTCTACAGTACTGGGACAGCGAACGAACCACCGTTGCTGAGAATCGCCCAGGTCTGACTGAGACCAGGTGGGGGAGGCCACGACCTCTTGAATCGCGCCGTTGGAACTCACCCAAGCCGGCAGTCGAGCCACCAATGCATTTTCAAGACCATATTGGGACTGTTCAAGCCCGCAGACAATCGACTGAAGCTCCTGAGCATCCCCCCTGGACCCTGGAGGAACCCCTCAAGACTGCCCAACGACCTCCCGCGACCATCCCAAGGGCCTCCAGGGCTCCTCAACGCTATCAAAATCAGCTCACGATGGGCTGCCGATCGAACCCGAAGAATTGACTTATTTGTTGCATTGGCCGTGCTCGTTGCTTCTCATCCTATCTTAACACACCTGGCTCCGAAGAGGCACGCGGCATGCGGCGTCGCCCACAAGACCCCAGGTGCGCCCCCGCGCCTCTGAGCCTCCAGCGAAATTGTCCACCTGGTCGGAGTTAGGGGGCCGAGCGGTCTGTGCGCCTGAATGCAGCGCGGCCGAATGCTTTCCCTGTGTGTGGATCTGATTTGCTGCTGCTCCAGCCGTTGTCTCCACGCAGCCTGCCCAGCTGCCCGCCTGCGACCCGCCAGCGGCCCACCCCGCGAGCCCCTGTCATGAGGGGGACTGGCTCAGGGTGGAAACGTCGACCCGGAATCGGCGATACATCGCAGACAGATCGGGGATCGGCCCCCGATGGCGAGTCCGCACGTTCCTGGGCGGGGTGGGGTAGCAGACCCCTATCGGCTAGCAGTCGGCGATCGGGTGGCGATGCGTTCCCCCTTGGGCGTATCTCCCCCCATCGTTGCCCCTGATGTCATCCGCAGCTGCAGGGGCCTACGCCAGACCTGAAATTGATGTCGGTGGCGACATGCCATTTGAACGCGCGATGTGCGAAGGATTTGTTAAATTCGCGCTGGCGCACGTTGCGGCGAACAGACGACTGTTGGTGAATGTTCGAAATACAGCCAAACCGTATCATAAGGATGCGCGGAGGCCCATGTTAACGATTTTTCGAACGAGGTTGGCGAGCGAACATCGCTATGGATGGGCCGAAGGGGCAAGGATGCAAGGGTACCCTTGGGAAGGTTGCCCATCCTTACTATGCGGGTTGACGGTAACATGGACGAGCGAATCCGTGCTGCCACGCGGTGCTTACAATAGCTGCATGCGTCCCAAATTCTATCTCGGCTGCTTCGCGTCAGCGCCTCTGACGCGAAGCAGCCAAAATCGCGCGCGCGAGAGCCAGCGGAGGACTTGCTTCTCCCAGGGCAAGGCCAGCACAGGAGCGACACCCGCTGGCGGATAGTAAATCCACACTGTCCTGCCCAGGAGGAGGAGGAGGAGGAGGAGGAGGAGGAGGAGGAGGAGGAGGAGGAGGAGGAGGAGGAGGCCTGGGAACGCCTGCACCTTGGACGCTCGGCACGGCGGGGCGGCCCCGGTGCGGATCGGCGCACGGCGCAGGGCGGCGGGGCCGCGTGCCCGGGGCGTGCATGGTCCGATCCGCACACGCACACGGCATGCCGCGCGCACCCGGGCCCGCACGTCCTGGCGGCTGCCCGGCATCGGAGGCCAGCCCACGGTAGCCGACGCGAGCCTGCCCGTCTGCTGCCCCCTCCTCCCCAGGAGGAGGAGGAGGAGGAGGAGGAGGAGGAGGAGGAGGAGGAGGAGGAGGAGGAACACGAGGTGAGGAGGGAAGAGGAAAACGACTAGAAAACTCCCGGCCGCGCCCAGTGAGACCTCTCCCGCCCCCAGAGTAGAGCAAGCAAGGCGACCCAGAGTAGAACGAACAAGCAAGTAGCAAGCAAGTAGAATGCGGGTTCCGAAAGAGCCCAGACGGACCAAGAACGCCCTCAGACGGTCCAGTCAGCCTCCAAGAGCCCCCGGGGCGCCCCCAAGGCGCTGCCAGGAAGCCCGAAGGACCCAAGAGGGCCCAAGAGACCACCCGATCAAGACTAGATTGGCTCGAGGAGCCCCAAGAGGCCCCAAGAGGCCAAGAACCCCGAAGGGTGCCCCGAACGGCCCCCAAGAGGCCCCAAGGGCCCCTCGAGGCCCCTCGAGGCCCCCAACGGCCAACTAACATGCTGGGCTGGCATGGTGACGGGATTTGCCGCACGCAGCTGGATATGGAATTCGAGAGTATGGACTGACATATACGCTTGCCCAAATGATAAAACGTGGCTGCCTCGAACAACAACTGCTGCATATTGAACCTTGAGGGCTCGGGACTACGACCCTCCTCCTCCTCCTTCTCCTCCTCCTCATCGGGCGATCGAGCCCCAAGACGGCCCAACATCGACCCTGAGGCAATTCGTTCGTCCCGGATCCGTTTGCGACGGTCCCTGGGCCCGAAAACGCCAACGGGGCGATTCGAACCGCCAGCTGTGCGAGTTAGGACCGACGGTTTTCACATTTTCGGAGCTTCGGGGCGCTCACAACCGACGGTTCGAAATATTAGAACCTGTCGTTCTGAGCATACCGCTGCTTTAGAACCGTTGGTTCTGATCCCGCAGGCCCGATAATCAACCGCGCAAGATGGCCTCGAGACGGCCCGAAAGGCCTCCAAGACAGCCTAAGAATGCCCAGCTGGCGTTTCTACCATACTTGGACCACGAGGGGTTTCGTACCGTCGGCCGAAAAGCTTTAGACCCATGGGTTTAAAGTATTCTGGTCGCGGCGCGCTTGGCTGCTTCTGATTTTCGTAGGCCCCGACGAGAGACGGCCCAGAACGACTTCGAGACGGCCAAAGAGGCCAAGAGGCCTCCGAGAAAACCCAAGAACGCTCCAAGCGAACCTCCACCTGGCGTTCTTACGATGTTCGGGCATCCGGGCGCCTCGCGGCAGCAAAATCTTAGAACCAACGGCTCTAAACTATTCGGGGCGCGGCGCGCTTGAAACCGCTGGCTCTACACTTGCGAACCGACGCTGCAGGGGGTTGGCACCCCCCCTCCCCCCGGCCTCCTGGAAACCTTTTCTCGGGCCTGCGCACCGTTGCTTAGAACTGACGGTTCTACGCAACGGTGGCTCTACACTCGAGAACCGACGCTCCAGGGGGTTGGCCCCCCGCGGGCCTCCTGGAAACCCTTCTCGGGCCTGTGGACCGTTGCTTCGAACCGACGGTTGGGAGCAGACCGTTGCCTAGAACCGACCGT